AAATAAATAAAATCTTAAAAATAAATAAATAAATAAAATTTTCAAAACAAATTAAAATCAGAATTTATAAATAAGGATCAGTCGACTGCAGTTTTAAACTTCTGTGTGGTTTGAAATAAAACAAAACTAACCATGATACCGACACTTCCCCTCCTCAGAGTTTTGCGGCGGCCCTGATGGAGATGTCCGGCCCCTACAACAGTTCCCCTCGGCCAGAACAGCACAAGTGAGTGGGGCTCGGAGCTTAGGGGGAGGTGGGAGGGAGGGCAGTGAGGCATGTGGAGACAGTGAGGAAAGGAGGGCTGAAATGTTCTCCCTCTGTGCCTCCAACAAGCTAGAGAGCAGATGTGAGGAGGCCTGGACCCCCATCACAGCTCAGGATGCCCTACTTCCTTGTGACCTGGCCATTCACAGCCCCCAGAACTCTGAGGGCTGGTCAGTCCTGAGGTCCCCTTCAGAGAAGGGAAGGGAGGCACAATGGGGCCTGAAAGCACAGAGATCCCCAGGGCGACAAAGCCAAGCCCAAGGGCAGGGTCTTTCCTATCCCAGATGTAGAGACCCCGGAGCTGTCCCCAGGCTGTGTCTGGGCCTGCGCCACGCTCCCAGTTCTCTGTGACAGCCCTGTCTCTGTCTTCTCTTGCCAGGAGTTACAAAATCCGCTTCAACAGTGTCTCCTGCTCAGACCCGCTGGTGTCCTCCTGGAGACGGAAGAGAAAGGAGTCCAGTAATACAGACAGCGCAGGGGCCCTGGGTACCCTCAGGTGTGGGAGCTGCAGTGAGGGGAGGCATGGGAGGGAGGGCAGGCTGCCGGGGCATACAGGGGGCAGGGACAGGTGTGGGCTCCAGTGACGGCTCCCTGAACCCCAGGTTCTGTGTGTTCGGCCTGGGCTCCCGGGCATACCCCCACTTCTGCGCCTTCGCTCGTGCGGTGGACACACGGCTAGAAGAGCTGGGCGGGGAGCGGCTACTGCAGCTGGGCCAGGGAGATGAGTTGTGTGGCCAGGAGGAGGCCTTCCGTGGCTGGGCCCAGGCCGCCTTCCAGGTGAGCCCCTGGGCCTGTTCAAACGTGTGACCCAGGCTTCGCCTCCCACCCCAATTCTGGCTCCCTCCCACCTGCACCCCTCCCCTTTGAGACATGCAATATTGAGGCTGGAGGCCTTGCTGCTGTCCTGATTCTGTTTGGTTCTCTGGTCCCATCCTGTTCCTTCCAAAATCCATCCTCATTTCACCACTGTACAGCCAGCCCTTCTGGCTCAGTCCGGAGCAGTGGATGACGCAGCCCTAACAACACGGGAGGTGGCTGGCCCAGGCAGAGGAGAGCAGAAAGGGCCCCCGCAGGTAGAGCTTCAGCCAGGCACAGACGGGGCCCCTGAGTGGGAGCCTAGTGGGTGAGCATGCAGGGCAGGCAGGGTGGAGGGAGAGGGGAAGGCCCAAGAGAAGGCTGGACAGAGGCGAGGGCTGAAACTGAGGCCAGGAGAACCTACAGAAAGTCAGAGGCCAGACAGGCTTGGGGAGGTGCCTGGACAGATGGTGTCCTGGCTCAGGGAAGTGCAAGGAGGGGTGCATCCCAGGGCTGTGACTTTCTCAGCCTGGGCTTCCCCCAGAGGCAGCTCTGCCTGGTCTGGGGATTATGCCTGGAGGTGAACAGGCTCCTTCTCCCCGTCCTAACACTCTTTCAGGGCAGTGCTCGCCCCACCCAGGGTTCCCAGGCTTGAGTTTATCAGGTCTGGCCTGATGGAGCCAAGGGGTACATGCAAGGAGGAGGGCTGTGGGGGCGCCTGGCACAGGTGGAGGGTTTGCTGGGAAGGAGAAAGTCAAGCTGAAGAAATAGATAGGCTCAGGTTGGGAGGAGGAGAACAGGAAGGAAAACAAGAATCCGGATGAAAGGAAGCGACTGGAAGCTAGGAGTAGAACAGGAAAAGGAGCACAAGGTGAAGTTTTAGGGATACTGCTTTAGAGACGCAGGGTCAACGAGAGGAACATCCAACTAGAAAGCAGGAAAACGCTGAATGAACTAGGGTGGTAGCAGTGGGGCTAGGAAGGAAGGGAGGGGGCCAAGGAAGGAAGGAAGAGATATAAGACCTTACACACACAAAAGAAAGATTAACAGGACTGGTGATACGCATTGGCAGGAGAAGGAGCAACCAATCATGGGTGAGCCCTGGATTTCAAGCCTGGGCCGGGACCAGCAGTCTGCAGGACTCCTACCTGAACAGAGACAAATAGGATATGTACCCTCCCAGGGGTCCTGCCCCAGGGGCCCCTCTAGCCCTTATGAGCAACGCAAGAAGGACAGAGCGGCCAGAGACCCCTCCCACAGCCACCCAAATTTGGTGTCCCCCTCCGGGAGCACTGTAGGGTTTTTACATAAAGCATCTCATTTCATCCTCCCCAGAACCTAATGAGGTGGAAAGAGGGCTCAGTGAGACATGTGGAATATAAGTAGACGAGTCAGAATCTGAATGCACTCCGAGCGCACAGCCGCGTTCACTGAGTGCTACCGTGTGCCGAGTGCCGTGCTCCCTCAGAGAGTACCACTCACCAGATTATGGAACCAGTGGGTGTGACACAAGTAAATATGTGCAAAGGGAGAGCTAGTGCAGTGGCCAAGCCATGAAATGGGTCGAAGAACAGGCACTGTCAGCCTCAGCTACTGGGGCTGCTGAGGCCGCAGGCGAGAGGGCCCCCCCCAGTCCCAGGAACAGAAGGAAGGTGGCCTCTGGGGACCCCACAACCCAGCTCAGCCTCCCACCTCAGCCTCCCTGAGCTCCTCCCTGCTCCGCTCGCCCTGGTGGCCCGAGGCCCTCAGCCCTCACCATCTCGCCCCTCAGGCCTCCTGTGAGACTTTCTGTGTGGGACAGGACGCCAAGGCCGCCGCCCGGGACATATTCAGCCCCAAACGGAGCTGGAAGCGCCAGAGGTACCGGCTGAGTGCCCAGGCCGAGGGCCTCCAGCTACTGCCAGGTGAGGCTCTGGCCTCCCCCCTGACCCCGCTGGCCCTCTGGGCTCCCAGGGTCCCAGGACTAACTGTCAGCGGTCCGGCCGGGTTCCCAGCTCAGTCTCAGTCTCCCCCCAGGCCTGATCCACGTGCACAGGAGGAAGATGTTCCAGGCTACGGTCCTTTCAGTGGAAAACCTGCAAAGCAGCAAGTCCACGTGAGGAGGACCACCTCCCCCCCCACACACACCTGTCCTGGCCTCTCCTTCCCTCTGTCCCAGCATGCTCCCGCCCACGCCCTCCTCGCCCCCTTCTAACTGCCCCAACTCCTGACCCACAGCCGGGCCACGATCCTGGTGCGTCTGGACACTGGAGGCCAGGAGGCGCTGCAGTACCAGCCAGGGGACCACATAGGCATCTGCCCGCCCAACCGGCCCGGCCTCGTGGAGGCGCTGCTGAGCCGCGTGGAGGACCCGCCTCCACCAGGAGAGCCGGTGGCCGTGGAGCAGCTGGAGAAGGGCAGCCCTGGTAAGGCCGAGCGGTCTGGGGCACGAGTGACAGCCTGCTCATCCCCCTGGCCTCAGGGTCCCCGTGAGTTGAGGACCTGGTAGAGGACTGCCACCTCCCCTCACAGCCGTAACGCCTGTGCTCAGAGCCGGCTGTGCTCCCTCTTGTCGGACTGACCTTGTGGCTGGATGGTCCACAGAGTGTGGCTCCTTTCTCAGTACCTGCCCCTTCCCCCCAAAAGGCTGCCCCCCTCTGGGCTCCCCCCAAAGTCTCCTCCTGACAGTCTAGCCCACTCTGTAGCTGGCCTCGGGCTATCTCCTGCCACGCCGGTGCCTGGCATTAAAATAAGAACCCAGACCAACCCAAACCAAGCAGAGGCCGCCAAACACACACACAAAGAGGCTGCCCAGACAGGCCCACCACCACTGTTCAAGGGCAAGGTCTCCGATAAAACACAAGGCATGGTCGGTCCTGGGATACCCCCAAAGCAATGACCACCTCAGACTCTGCAGTTCCAGGTGGCCCCTTCCTCAGACCTCCCTTGTACATCACCCACAGGTGGACCACCCCCCAGCTGGGTTCGGGACCCCCGGCTGCCCCCATGCACGCTGCGCCAGGCTCTCACCTTCTTCCTGGACATCACTTCCCCGCCCAGCCCTCAACTCCTTCGACTGCTCAGCACCCTGGCCGAAGAGTCCAGCGAACAGCAGGAGCTTGAGAGCCTCAGCCAGGTGCGGGCAGCCCCAGTGAGCAGCAGGGGCTCGAGAAGCAGGAAGAGCCAGGCGGGAAAGGGGGGTCCACCTGGCTAGCACACCCTGGGGTTTAAGACCCAGCTCTGGAGTCACTAATTCAGCTCTGAATTCTCGATGCTCAAGAAATGTTTGTTGGCCTGAACTGAAAAGGGAGAAACCCCAGGAGGCTCAGCTCAGGAGGAGTCAAGGAGGGAGGTCAGCAGGCAGGGTTGGGAGGTTCCGAGCCCATTGCGCCCTGCTCCCACCAGGACCCGCGGCGCTACGAGGAGTGGAAGTGGTTCCGCTGCCCCACGCTGCTGGAGGTGCTGGAGCAGTTCCCATCGGTGGCACTGCCCGCCCCCCTGCTCCTCACCCAGCTGCCCCTGCTCCAGCCCCGGTACTACTCGGTCAGCTCAGCACCCAGCGCCCACCCAGGAGAGATCCACCTCACAGTAGCCGTGCTGGCATACAGGACACAGGGTGAGGTGCTGGAGGGTCAGGGGCAGGGCCACACAGTGACCCTGGGATGGGCCCCTCATGGGCACCCTCTCCTCCCCAACCCCCAGATGGACTGGGCCCCCTTCATTATGGAGTCTGCTCCACATGGCTGAGCCAACTGAAGGCCGGAGATCCCGTACCCTGCTTCATCAGGGGGTAAGTGAGTACTTCAGGGGACGGGGGTGGAAGGGACATCGAGAAGAGAGCGTCTGTCCAAGCAGGGGTGGACAAAGTGCCACATGGATGGCCAGGGACAGATGGAGGAATCAGCAGGTGGCTGCACAGGGTGAGGGTGGGAGCTTTGGTGAGGGGTGTGATGGGGAGCAGGGAGGACCCACTTAACACATCTCGAGAATGGGGTATCTGGTTAAGCTACTTCAGAACTTTGACTAAGCTTTGGGTGTTTCGCTAATTTGGACTTAGGGTCCTGTCCCAAAGCTTCCCTTCCCAGAGACAGGGCTGGGATTCAATCTGCAGGCCCTGCTGCTTTTAGGTAAACTATGTCCCTCGCTACATCCTTGGGGTCAGTCTGATATTGGGAGGCATGGCACTTGGGAACTGGTGCCCTGTTCAAGGCCAAGTCCCCACTTAGTCCAGGGAGAACTAGTTAGGTTACCACAGTATCACTGAGGACTCAAAGAAAGTAAAAGATTGCAGGATACCCTTCCCTGGTGCTGGGTTCAGAAGCCTTGCCCCATCCAGCAGCCAGGACCCAAAGCCTCAGGGGGTGGGGGGGGGTGGCGCAGAGAGACTTAAAAGAGTTCCCGGGATGGGGCACCAGTTAGGTCCAGTAACCCAAAAACATCCAGGAGGCCAAATCACAAACTGTACCAATCTACTAAATACAAACCAAATACCAACATTAAGGCTAGGATTTAAAATAAACACTCAGTGAATTCGTTATGAACCAAAGGCTGTCTTTCCCTTCCCATATGTTGTAAATCTCCTAACTGAGCTATCAGAACATTCTTCAATTCAAATTAAATCATATTCCCTTTGACCCAACCTCCAGAAACACAGGTCCAGGGAGTTTCTGCCTGCAAGTAGAGTTCTTTTCATAACACACCATGCCCACTCTGAGCTAGACTATGTCGTAAGCACTCGACAACCCATTTACCGGTGGAAGTTGAGTTGTCCACTGGAGTCGAAGTTGGTAAGAATGTGGGAGCTGGGAAAGCACAGGGCCCTGACAGAGTGTTCCTCCACTAGGGCTCCCTCCTTCCGACTACCGCCTGATCCCAGCTTGCCCTGCATCCTAGTGGGCCCTGGCACAGGTATTGCCCCCTTCCGGGGATTTTGGCAGGAGCGGCTGCACGACATTGACAGCAAAGGTGAGACTGGGGACCAAGGGAATGACCGGAAGACAGGAGGGAGTCACACAATCTAGGGGGAAAGGGACGGGGGCTGGAAGACAGAAGCCAGGTAGGAAAGAGGGCAAGGAATGGGCCACAGAGGTGAAAAGAAGCTTATTAGACCAAGGGGAGGACAGTGCCCTGTTGGTCCAGCTTCCTGGGGCCAAACACAAAGTAGGTGTGGGACTGGGTTAAGGACAAGGGGACAAGGGGAACTGGAAGTCTGGAGAGGATGGGACTAGGACTCAGAAGGCAGAAATGCCCAAAGTGTACTTGGGACTGTGCCGGAGCTCACCTAAGTGTGTCCAAGACTCAAAGAAGCTACAGGATGTTCAGGCTGGACACGGGGTGTGCAAGGCAGCTGGTAAATCAAAAGAAGGGGGCTGTGACTGATAGGAAGGCAGACAATGTGGAAGCTGAGGATGTGCCAGAATATGGGGTTGGAGCAGGGACAGGGCTAGATGGAATCCCGGAACTTCCGTGTTAGATGGTGCCAAGGGCTTGGAATTCTAAGTCAGAAGCCCCACGTTCTCATGCAGTGCCACCACTGGTCATTCCACCCAATGAGCCACCACCTATCGTAATCTGCTTTTCTGTGAGCGTCTTCTCTGTAAATCAGGGTCAGGCAAGGTCTCTGTGAGAGCATCCTGCACTCTCCTGGAGGCTAGACAGCCGAGAGTGGTTGTCTCTATTCGAAAGGCGGCTGGGCCGTCCGCCTGGGCGAGGTTAGCCAGTGGGAGATGTCGCTGGGGCTGCGCCCCGGGGAGAGGGCTCTCCCAAGCCCCAGTGCTGCTTGCAGGGCTGCAGCCCGCCCCCATGACTTTGGTGTTCGGCTGCCGATGCTCCCAGCTCGACCACCTTTACCGCGACGAGGTGCGGGATGCCCAGCAGCGCGGAGTTTTTGGGCGCGTCCTCACCGCCTTCTCCCGGGAGCCCGACAGCCCTAAGGTGCGACACCCTGAGGGCGCGGGGGTAACCTGAGACTGGGCACCGGGGAAGGGCGGAGAGGGGCGCGAAGACCCAGGCCCGGCCCCGCCCCCTCGAGTGCGCACCCTCCACCCCGCCCCTCAGCACCGCCCCCCCCGGCGTCACTCAGGCACCCGCCCCCACTCGGCCCCTCCCGCGTGCCTTTTGGTCTCCCTCACCTGCACCCTAGCCCCGCCCCTTGCTTGGCTCCACCTCTCTAAAGCCCAACGCCACGCACATAGGCGCCGCCGCGCAGAAACTGTTCGCCCCCAGGGCCGGACCCTCCCCCCAAGAACCCCTCCCCCCGGGCGCGCCCCTAACCCCGGCTCCCCTCAGACCTACGTGCAGGACATCCTGCGGACCGAGCTGGCTGCTGAGGTGCACCGCGTGCTGTGCCTCGAGCGGGGCCACATGTTTGTGTGCGGCGACGTCACCATGGCAACCAGCGTCCTGCAGACGGTGCAGCGAATCCTAGCGACGGAGGGCGACATGGAGCTGGACGAGGCCGGCGACGTCATCGGCGTGCTGCGGGTGCGGAGGGCGGCGCCACGCCGGGGCGGGGTCATGCCCGGGGCGGGGCCCACTCCTACTTGGATCCCACCCCGTTCTGGCCTTCTTTCCCCGCAGGATCAGCAACGCTATCACGAGGACATTTTCGGGCTCACACTGCGCACTCAGGAGGTGACAAGCCGCATACGCACCCAGAGCTTTTCCTTGCAGGAGCGACATCTGCGGGGTGCAGTGCCCTGGGCGTTCGACCCGCCTGGCCCAGACACCCCCAGCCCCTGAGAGTCCTCTTGTTTTCCATCCCAGTTCCAGGAGAGGGGCCGTCAGTCCACCAGACCAGCCACCTCTCCCCTCCCGAGGTGCTTCCCATCTTTGTCCAGAGTCTGCCCTAAATCGCCTTATTCCGGGGAATGAGCGAAATGTCCCTCTCTAGGTCTGTTTACTTGCCCCAGGTCTGGAGGCCCCCTCCCAGGGCCTACTGTCACCCCTTTTGTGTTCCTTAGGTGAATTTTAGATTCCCTTTACCTCCCCCAGGAGTATCTTATCTTGAAACCTAATCTCTAAATCAAATATTTATTATTGAAGATTCACCATAAGAGACTGGACCAGGTGTTATATGACAGCTACTAAGATGCCTAACCCAGCCCCATCGATTAAAATTACAGAATGACAAGCTTTGTCTTTTAATTTGTGCAGTTGAAGGTCGTAGTAATTCTTTAAAAGGCGGTCCTATCCTACATACTCCACTCTGACCCAGCGCTCTAGAAATGTGGTTTCCAGCCAATCACAGACAGTTCTGTGTAGCTTCCTTGCTCCTGACTGAGAAACAGGTACAGCCCTCAGCTACCAGGAGTGGGAATGCCAGCGACTAAGGTCACAAAGATGTGCAACACAGCCATGAGCAACCTTTACTGCTGGTTTCAGACAGGATGAGGAGCCACACCCACTTTCTCCGACATCACACCAGTGCTGAACTCCAAAAACATCAGCCCTCCGTAGTCTTCCCACTCACAAGTCCCCATGGCCCTCCCTCCACAAGTCCCGTGGGACCCTGAAGGCCAGGCCAGCTCGAAGGGCCCACTGGGGTTCAGGTCCCGTCCCTAACTGTTTCCCTAACATTTAGCTAGGCCTCCGCCTTGGCCCTGTCCTCCACCCTGAGGATCCCTGGGGATTGCTTCCCAGGCAATTGCTGAGACAGCTAGTTGGGGTGGTGTCCCCTTAGCCCCTCCAGGTGGGGATCATCTCTGAGACTTGTTTCCAGATCTTTTGGCATCTCCTCTCCTACCCTTTCTCTGCTCTCTGGGTGAGCTCATCACTAACCTCCCCCAACTCCTGCCCAACTAAAGCGTCCTTAGGCCTACAGTCTGCGGGGGTGGGTCTCTAAAGAGGGCTCGGTGTCACGTCCTTCCACTCCACCTTGTCTGATCTCCTATAGCTGGAGAAGCCAGGGAACCTGGGGGAGGAGAAGGCTCTTGGCAAGCATTCCAGGGGTTTAGGTTCCAAAGATGACCATCCCTATCACCCTGAATTCCCACCACTGCCCCCATCCCTCCAAGTGTGGCTCCACCCAATTTTCTATTCATTCCCCAACTCCCCCGCATCCCTACCCTCCCGCTCCATTAGACAACACTGACCCTGAGGAGCCCTCTCAGTCAGTGCCAGGGGCCTGACTAGGCTCCTTCTGGGTGTCTGTGGTCTCCTGAAACCTTCCAGGGAGCAGATTCTGGGTCCTCTGGGTTCTCCACTGCTGTCTGGGGCTGGAGGCAGGACTGGAGCCTGGTGAGAAAAGCCATCAGCTGGCCAGTGTGGTGATGCCCGCTGTCCACCCAGGGTCTGTCCCCTGCACACCCTGACCACCTTACCATCACTTGACCAGGATGGCTTCTCCTCATCGGGCGAGAGTGTCTGGGAGGGGCTGGACCAGGGCCTGGACAGGGAAGAGGCTGAAGCCTCGCCCCACAGTTCCTGCTGCTGCTGTTGATGGAGCTAAATGGAAGGAAGAGGAATGATGGGCTCTCTCGTGCCCCACAGTGGGAAATCCAGACCCTGGACTAGGTGCAGAGGCTTCTCAGACCTCCTCTTCAAGCTCCTACCGAGTATTTCCTTACACTCTATGCCCCCCACTCCATCTCCATTTCATTCAGCTGCTTTCTCCCCACATTTCTCTTTCTGGTATCCCCCTGCTCACCTGGTGCAGGTAGATGGCATGAAGACTCATCTCAGCAGAAGCAAACTCTGGAAGCTGGGCCAGCTTCTGGCCCCCAGTGCCTCCTGGGGACACACAGCTGAAACAGAGAACACAGTACACCAAAGACATGCCCCTCCCCCCTGCACCGCACAGCGACGGCCAGACTTGATCTCCCCTTCCCAGGGCCCCTACATACTCCTCCTGAGGACCAGCACCCTCCTCACCAGCTACTGCCCTGCCTCTCCGTGCCCCACCCTCACCTCGGGTCCTGGGCAAGGCGGGAAATGGAGGCCAGGAGGCTGGCTGTGGCTGCAGCTGGGCAGGGGGCCGTGGGGCTCAGGTCCCGTGGGGGCAGGAGGGGCTGCACCAAGAGGTTGGCCAGGAAGGCCTCCGGCTGGGAGCAAGAGAAGAGGGCATCAGAAGAGAGGACAGAAGGGGAGGGCGGAAGCCTAGGAAAGGCCTGGAGCAAGCTAGACCAGGGAGCAGGTTAATACAAAAAGTGAGATGGAATGGAGGGACTGGGGATGGTGACGGCAGAAGGCCAGGCCAGGCTGCAACTCACCAGAGGTGAGGAAGAATCACTGAGCACCCCAGGCGTGGGGGGGCTGCGAACAGAGGTGGCGCCCCAGGCTGCTGCATCTTGTTGTACCCTGCCCCGAAGGTGTCCCAGGAATTTGGAGCTGTGCCCTGGGGGGCGCCATTGTGGATGCACCAGGGAGAACCTCATCAAGGAGAGCTCAGTCTTTCCATCCTCCGCACGCTGAGACAGTGAGGCCTCTGTCTGTCCTGCCGAGAGCCACTGAGAACAAGAACAGTCAGTCATTCAGATGCTGTGGACACTGCTTTTATAGCTTTCAGTGGGAGCTTCGTGGGGTAAGCGGGACAGGAAACACTGGCCCGTTTTCCAGGTCAAAGAACAGAGGCCACGATGGGGACTTGCTCAAGATCACCCAAGAATACAGCAGTAAAGCAGGACCTGGGTCTAGAGCCTGCACTAGCAGAGGGCGTGGGCTTAATGTTTTGCCAGCCTATGCACACTGGACCCCAGGGCTGGCCTGGGCGCCTTCTTCCGGCCCCACCTGCTCACCAGCTCACGTCTCCGCCTCTCTGGCAGTCTTTCCTCCCACTTACTGGAGTTACAATGTGCTGAGAACTCTGTCAGGGTTCTATACACATCATCTGCTGTAATCCTCCCAGCCCGTGCATTAGCTACAGTCAACGTCCTCATTTGACAGATCAGGACTCGAAGGTGTGAGGAAGTGAAGTGACTAGCTCAAGGTCACTGGTGGCCAACGATAAGATTGGAGTGGAACCCAGCTCTGCTCCGAGTGAGGCAAGAAAAGCCCTGCCCAACCACAACCCCACACAGCCAGGGATGGGCTCTAACCTGAGGGTGGCCGTGGCGCTTCACATCCATAAGGGCGAAGGAACAGATGTCCCCAACTCCAGCCACATCCACAGTGAAGTGATGAAAAAAGTCAATGATCTCCAGGGAACGAGGGGAGAACCAGAAGAGCAAAAACAGCGGAGTGAGGAGAGGGGACAGGAGCTCCTCCAGGAGGGAGACCTGGGGAAGCAAGGTGAGGTTGAGAAGGGGTTGTTGAGGGGGCTCACGCTCGCCATCAGGACCAAGAGACCCCCGGGGCCGCTCGCCGGGGCCGGAAACCTCTAAGCCAGTCACCTCCCGGCTCCCGGGATGGCCAGCGCCGAGCCGAGCCCGTTTGTCCCGAGCCCTCTCCCGGGCGCCCGCGGGCTCCGCAGCCCCCCTTCGGGCCGGACCCTCACCGCTCGGTACTGCAACAGCCGCGCCATCTGCCGGTAAGCGCTGGCCCTGCCCGCAGGACCGAGCTCCTCTGGGAGGTAGTGCATGTGCGCCAAAGCCGCGTGCAGCAGGAACTGCGGGGAACGACTCCGGCCCTGCTCTTCCGGAATGAAAGACCTGGAGGGCGGGATGGGGGTGAAGAAGGGGCCTGCGGTTAGGAACTGCAGATGGGCGGCAGGGCTGGGGGGGGCCGCTGACGGCGGGAAGGGTACGGATTCGCGGGAGGCTCGGCCCCGGGGCAGAGGAATGCGCCCCCCCTCTCCGGACGAGCTCCCCAGCACCTGGCCACGGTGGCCGTGACCCCGAGCGCGGTCATGGCGGTGAGCACGTGCTCCACGGCCAGCACGTCCTCGTCGTAGACGGTGAGCACGAGCAGCGCGGCGAAGAGCGCGCCGGCGAAGAAGACGAGCTGGCGGGCCAGCAGCGCGAGC